AGAGAGCCGAGACAAGAGCACCTGGAAGCTCCTGTCAAACCACTTTCAGAGTGTGGTCCGGCGCTTCGAAGTTGGCGATCGATTTATATGTATGTTTGTATTTATGTGCGAACACTCGTCACCTCTCCTGTTCTTGGAAGGCTGCAATGCTTCAAATCTGTTTCCCTGGTTGTTTTTTTTTCTTTCTTTTGTCACTCTCGCAGTCCACAATAAATCCCTCTGTCACTTTGCACTTTTATTCCTTTACTTCTTTCCCTGCGGTCACTGACCCATTTGAGATACTCAGGGCTATCAGCTGGTTTTGACTATTGGCTTCTTGTTCATACGTACAAGCGCGTAAGTGGGAACTTTCGGGCTTTGAGGCCCTAGTGTCACCCCTGCCTAGTGGGGACCTGTAAAATTTGAGGTTCCTATTACTCACTGCCCTGCAGTGAAAAATTATCAGTTGTTAAAACTAACCAACTTATAGTTAGCTTTTTGGCGAGATTTCGATTAATACCTCACTTTTAATTAGCAATGACAAAACCAACTTAAAGTGAATTGTAAAGTCGTGCAGGAGTCATGCAGACGCAATCGGGAGTTGGTTTTCTTTAAAAGTTTCTATTAAATATCCTCATACAAAAATTACTTTCAATACACTTTTTTTCTGAACTTCGCAGATTCTTTTTCATATTCAGGACAAATAAAAGGAAGATCGAAATTTTATACTATCATTTTTAAGTTATGTCTGACGGTGTTCGAATATGGGGCCACCCAGAGCAGAATATGTAAACAAATATGAAATGTAATAAAATAAAGTAAATAAATAAGTAATAATAAATAATAAAAAAGTAAAAAAACAAAAAAATATTTTGTTTTTCTTATTGATATTTTATGTCCAAAAGTAGTTAGTTACAAGTTAGTTGACATGTAATGCAGAGGTATCCAGGTCTGACTTTTTTGCGGCCATCGCCCCACAAAAGTAGTTAGCTTTTTTCGAACAAAATACACAGTTAATAGTTAGCACTAGTGTTCGCGTAAACAGACTAAAGTTAGGTATAAGCTAACGTCACTCCCTGCAGGGTGGTGTCGCAGAGGTTAGCATGTATGTGTATGTGTGAACCCTTTTAGTTAATAAGTTAGTTAATTTAAGTTAACTAGTGTTCGCCCAGCGGTTGAAATTCAACCGATAAAATTAAGGATAGTTTATGTAAGTTGAATGAGCTAAAATAACATTAGTTGGAATGGGTTAAGTGGAGGGGAGTTTAGCTTAGTACTTGGCATAACATAACATAACCATAACATAAGAATAAATAACATAACATATGAAGCATAACACACCACAATATAACATCGCACACTCTTCAGTTGTATTTCCTTTTTATCCCTTTTTTCACCTCTATCTAAATCTTATTTATTTTGGTTCATTTTATGCCAAATGATGTTGCCTTTGATGCCACATCAAGTGATATCATGTCATGTGGTGAAATTGGGTGTGGTGAGCTGCGGTGTGGTGGAATTGGGTGTAGGAGTTACGGTGTGGTGAATTTAGGTGTGGTGGATTCAAGTGTGGTGAGATAAGTTATGGTGAGAAAGTTGAGGTGTGGTGAATTAAGGTGTGGTGAATTTTGGTGTGGTGAGTTGAGGTGAGTTAAGGTGTGGTGAGAAAGTTGCGGTGTGGTGAATTAAGGGTGGTGGATTTAGGTGTGGTGGATTTAGGTGCGGGGGTTAAGGTGTGGCGAGTTGAGGTGTGGTGAATTTAGGTGTGGGGAGTTAAAGTGTGGTGAATTAATGTGTGGTGAGCTCAGGTGGAGTAAGTTTTTAAGTTAAGATGAGTTAAAGTTAAGGGGTTATGATCTTTATCCTTATCTTCATCTTCATCTTCATCTTCATCTTCATCTTCATCTTCATCTT